AAAAGTATGCAACAGTACCAGCAATAAAAACATTTTGTAAATTAATTACTGTAAATTGGTTAGTGGAGACGTCCACTTATAGAGCGTCCGTTCAAGAGAGCTTCAGGTTTTCCAAAAAAAATAATAATTTTAAAAATTTTCAGAATATAAATTTCACCAGAATGCTTTGAAAGTTTTTTTGAAAAGTTTTCTTTACTTTTATCCTTAAAACTCTGGAAAGTTTTGCTCACTGTTTTTACATTCCTTGATATTTTTTAATATTTTTATTAAACAGTGTTTTTAAATTTTATTTTGCAAAACATGCAATATGTATCTACTCAATTGTTATGATTATTTGTTTGTATAAGAGTTAGTTTGAGAACCTTGTACTACATTTAAATATAATATTTCATATTTTCTCCAATATACTTGCTATCTTTCATATGTTTTGTTATAATAGTATTACAAAAATTAGACCAGGAAGCATTCGAGAATGTTTCTATACAAAAAATTATAAAACACTGGAAGCGCCACATATTTGGTCTGTGCGAAATAAATACTGTTTTTAACGAATAAGGGTGGCTCAAAATATTCTAATTTTTTCAGAAATTGTTTTTTCGTTGCTAAAATGTGTTTTATGTGCATTACTTGGTTAAAAAAATTTAATTATATAACTATAACTTTTTCAAACCCTCCGAATATTTAAAATTAAATAATACTTATTAAAAAAATTGTTTTCAGCAATAAGTTTATTTAATATGTTTTATATTTCAAAACAGACCTGTTTCAAACCATTCAAACATATTTAATTAAATTTCAAGGCTTCAAAGGCATTTCTGTAGATAGTAAGTCGGTAATTTATGTAATTTATGTGCGAGGAATGTTTTTTCCAATTTTATAAATTTTTAGTTTTATTAATAGGCGCAACTTTTTCTATAAAAAATTTATGAAAAATGTGCAATTTGTAAATTTTTTTTTAATATCATCATACATATGTGTGTATGTTAGACAATATTTGTTCAGGTTCTTGTTGAAAAAAAATAATATTTCGATCAAATATTTCTAAGAATTCTTTCGTAGTATCGTTTTGGTTTTCATAGAAACAAAATTATACATAAAAGATTTTCGAATAAAAAACGTGATTAAAATTTTTCGAATAAAAAATTTTTGAACAAAAAAATTTTAAATAAAAAATACTCTGAAAAAACACCGGAAACAATTTCAAAAAAAATGTTAATTATACATTAAATAATTTACGAGTAAAATTCGATGAATAAAATTTTCGAACAAAAAAAGTGTAATAATTTTATAAATACTCGTTTCAATTTTAAAGTCGCTTTAAATATGTGCTTCAAAAAATTGCATACACATGTCAGACTTTTCGAATAAAAAGCTAAAATAGTGTTTGTGCAAACTCGCGTAATTTATTTTCGTATTCGTAGAACAACACTACATAAAAAATTTTTCCAAAAAAGTTCGATTAATTTTTTTTCGAAAATAAAATATTTTGAAAAAAAATCGAAAAACAATTTCAAATGAAACGTAAATTTTACATTAAAAGATTTGCTAGAAAAATTCGAATAAAAAAGTATAATCATTTTATGAGTACTCGTTTCAATTTTAAATACGTATTAAATATGAGACTTTTCGAACCAAACAATTTCGAATAGAAATGGTAGACCAGTGTTTATGCATACTCGCGTAATTTCTCATTTCATATTCGAAGAAACAATATTTTACATAACGTTTTTTTTTCGAATTTAAAAGAGTACGGAACAGAACATATTTCGAAAAAAATTTGCATAAAAAAATACTTGTTTAAAAAAAATTTCATATAAACAAATTTTCGATTACAAACAAAATTCTATTATATATATTTGGAGCTAAAAAAATTCGAATACAATTTAAA